GTGTGCGACACCTCGCCTTTGAAGGGGTTGCACCTTCTGCAGACGAAGCAGTGGGTCTATTTATATCCCCCCGACCCACTGGGGGTAGATGAGGATTATGGATGTTGGATAGGAAAGAAAAGGAGTAAACCAAACCAGAGCACCCGCCAACCACCTCTGATATCTCTTAACACATGAGGTAGATCAAGAATAAGTAACTTCTGAAATGAGTGGTGGACCATGATGGCTGATGGCAGTCTCAGATCTGAAACTTGATAAGTACCCATCAGGCGTCCCAGAGCAAGACGTACTCAAAATTTGTATGCTTGAATATACAGCAGTAACAGTCCCCATAAAAACCCCTCTGAAGTATTGACCTTTCTTCACTTTTTATTAACAAATACACCTATTTAGTATCAGGAAAACGGTGCTCTTTCAGCGCACATTTCGATATCAACCCTGTATCTTTTTCACTTGAAGTTTCAATGAAAAAAACCTTATAAGCTATGCTTCAATTGATTCTATAATTAATTCATTTACCAAATTATTACCAGAAATAATCATTCATCAATTCTATACTGGCATCTGTTGAGCAGCACTTAAGTGCTTCAATATTGTACTCAAGAGGCTTGATTCCCAAGTAGGAAGACAATTTTATTGAGTATCTCCGTCTTTCTGCTGGGGTGTTGTATCCCTCTCAGTCCTGGTTGGCCCTGACAGGCAGGGCCCAAATCCTGCGCCCTAAATGATCTAAAATTGTGCTGATGGGGGTGTTAAAACACCTATATTAACACTCCCCAAACAAACAAAAAATAAAACAAACAAAATAAACTAAAAGCAAAAGGAAAAGTCCAGAGTAACAGTCAACTAACCTGTCGATGGTCTGACCCTGTCTCTGGACCGCCTGATGTTTCTGTCTCACTTCCTCCAGCTGGGCCAACAGTTCATCATTATCGTCTTTCAATTTCTGAAGACAGAGTTGGCGCCAGTTACAAGTTGTATTAGCTTGTCCGTCAGTGACTGGCAAATACCAATACATTCGCAGAAGAGAATATTTCTCCAGCGAAATAGAAGAATTTGAAGAGTTGGTGTAAGTTACAAGTAATACTAACTTGTCCGTCAATGTCTGACTGTGACCAATACATCTGTAGAGGAGAATATTCCTCCAGAAAAATAGAATAATTTGAAGAGTTAAAGGTCACGATGATTAGTGGCTTCTGCTGTGGCCGATGAGACCAATTTCATTTGTAGATACGCACAGCTTGCTGGCTTCTCTCTTGGTTCTAGCATTTCTTATTCGTAAGCTTTATATGATTTTCACGTTCAGTTTTATGGAAAAGAAAGCGAGACTCTGCTAAACCTCTTTTACGGACATTGCATTGGCTTCCTGTTGAGAAAAGAATTGTGTACAATATGGCCACCCTATGTCACAAATGTTTGAATGATAATGCGCCATCATATTTATCAAATCTTGTAAGACTGCACATTCCAACTCGCTGTTTAAAGTCATCAGCTGACAAAAAGAAATTTATTTTACCATCTATGAAACTTAAAACAATGGGCGAAAGGGCATTTGAATACCAAGGCCCCAAGAACTGGAATGCTTTACCAAGTACTTTAAGAGAGATAAAATCTTTTGATTCATTCAAATGTCAGCTGAAGTCGTTTCTGTTTTTAAATTAATAAGATGAACATTTGGAGTGATTTTCTTTTAGTCAGAAAACAACGTTATGTCTTATTGTTGTACGTTGTACTGTATTGTAAAGCGCTCAGAGCCAGTGTACTTCAATCAGGGTTGAGCGCTATGTAAATTTCATTTATTATTATTATTATTTGCTGCCAACTGTGACTACAGCTCTCCAGCTGGGTCTGTCAGGAGCAAGGCTCTCTCATGTTACATGTTAAGATATTATAATTAAAAGAGTTTTTATACAGGCTGTCAATTACAGTTGAGCCTATTCTACTAACAGCATCCTGTTCAAAACAATTACCTGTACAGTACACCATATTAAGACAATTGTGTACAGTGGAACTTGCTCTAATGGCCGCCGGTCCAAAACAGTCACCTGTTCAAGACATTCACCTGTATAAGACAATCGAGTGTAGACGAACTTGCTCTAATGGCTACCTGTCCAAAAGTCACCTGTACAAACATTCACTTCCCACTGTAAAATGTTACAATAAGGTGATATTGACTGTTGGGTAAACAAAGTACCATAATCCTTTCTTTCTTTCCTTTGACTTTGACCAACCTTTGTCTCCTCCTGCTTCCTGTCCAGTTGCTGCTGAAGCTCCATCAGTTCTTGCTTGTGGTCCTCTGCTACAGTTGACCTGTCCACCAGATCCAACTGTGGGACAACATTATGTTTGTTTTGGTTAACGTGAAAGGACAAATTTTAATATATATATATATATATTGACATATATATTAGACAGATAAATACAGTTTCTCAGTGTCATTGTAAACTTTTACAATGTAAAAATCAATAAAGTTGGTGAACTTTTTAAAGGGACCATGTTGCAGGTTTATTTTTGTGCGTATGGAAAATTATAATACAAGGGAGCGGGGGGAATGAGTGAGGGGGAGGGGGGCAGTACAATTATTTACCTTCTGGTGCAAGTCATTCTTCAGCTGTTCGTTCTGCTTGGCCAGAGTTTGCTGTTGGTCACATGACTCCAGTAGCTCTTTCTCCAGACGGGAAATATCCTGGGGGAGATTAAACAAACTTTCACTTAGAACATGTTTATGGTCATTACTATGGCTTAGCCTTGTTTGTTTATTCGTTTGTTTGTACGAGAAAGTTCATTAGTTTTAGTTTTAATCAAAGATTACTTTTTCTATAATTATTTTTTCTTCAATATGTTGGCCCAATATCTTAACACATTTTTTACCTGTGCTGAAGTACATGATACAAAAACAATTAATTAAAACATTTCGGACTCGAAATATTAAAAAATCCTATCAATTTGTTATGAGAATAAATGGTTAAACGTGTGTTTTCTGATGGAAACACATTCCTGACCAGGTACGCCTTTTTTGGCCTTTTCACCCTGTTGCTCAAAAATAGTTTGGCTGACAACGGGGATCTTTCTCTTCACACACACACACACACACACACACACACACACACACACACACACACACACATACACACACACACATTCCCACAACAACAAAAACAACAGCAACAACAACACAACAAAAACAACAGCAGCAGCAGCAGCAACAACAACAACATATTTAGCAGGGTTTGCAGACAGTTGCAACATAATAGAGAAATCATCATTAATCCGTTGCCCACAAAATCCGTCAACCCCCTCTATACACACACACAACAACAACTACAACGATAACAACAGCACTAGCAACGAAAATAGCAATAACAAAAAAATAATAAATGAAAACAACAACGCTAAGCAGCGTTCTCCCCCCCCCCTCATCCCCCCACTCACTGACCTTCTGTCCCCTGGCCACCCTCTCCGCCAACTTCTGCTCCTCGTGAGAGGCCCTGGACTGCGCCTCCTCCAGCTGACCCCTCAGCCTGGCCGCCTGGGCCGCTCCCGCCTCTCGCTCCTTGTCCAGCTCCGTCTGCAGGGACTTCACCTGCTCCTGGTACCGCTGGTCAACAGTCCTGGGAGGGTCAATGGGTCGAGAGGAGTTTTGTGTTTGAGTAAAAATGAAAAGCAGATTGGTAACGGTGGTTCAGTGTTGAAAGAGAGCAAGACAGATGTTTGAGTTTTTTAGTTAGTATTAGTAGAGGTTTACGGGGCTCGCAACTGCACAAGGTCATATGAGCGCCAGAAGAATAGAGGTGTTACAAGAGAGTAACAAACATAAAAAAGAAGGAAGGGAGAAAAGGACGATAGATGTTTGATAGGAAAGAAGAAGCAAACCACACCAGAGCACCCACCAACCACCCACAGACAGATGTTTGAGTTTGAAGTTACATCACTATTGCTGATAATGCATCACCATTATGTATGACTTCTAAGTAATACGTACATTTCAGAGCTTTGCCTTCCTTCTTGAGAGTGCCTCTTAACAGCTTCGAAGTTCTTACCAGCGCCTTGTGATCGACCCCCCCCACCCCTGACACTGTCTTTTGTCTCCCGCTGCTTAGGGATGCCACGACCCTATCCTCTTTGCAATCTTCCTCAACCATATTTTCCTCTTTTTTGTTCTTCCCAAAAGTCCGTTTCCAAACTTTTTGTCTCTTTCTGCTACAAAACTGTTTCATTTCTCAGTTCTGATTGTAGCGAGGAGTCAGTTGGAATACAGATTTAATCATTTCAAGATAAAGACATTTGCTCTCTCTCTGTTGAGTCCATGGCATGGCGTGGGGTGGAATCCAGCAGTATGGACTCCCCCCCCCATACACACATTCGTGACAAATAAAAATTTATGAGAAAAGTCAGGATATATCCTGGTTTACAAAATATACATATAGCGCGCTACAACAAAGTCAGCACCAACTGGAAGTTGGCGGGAGCTCTGGTTTGGTATGTTCTTCTTTCTTATCAAACATCTATTGTACTTTTCTCCCCTGCATTTTAACGTTTGTTACTCTCTAATCTTCGGCTCTTATGTGGCCGTATTGTGTTTACAAGTGCCGTAAAATTTTTACTTAAACAAGACTATGTACACTGAACAATTAATATTGCTGTGACAGACCATGATAACATGACTTTCCAAAAATATTCTCAGTTTGCCAGTTTATTATAATAATACCCTACCTTAGAATTACAAAAGTTCTCTCTACTCAGTACCTAATTTTGAGAAATTTAACGTAGGAAATGTTGAGTTTCACAATATGTCAAACCTTTTCGAATGCAGTTCTTTGAATACATTGAAAACGACTTGGAGTAATCTAACGATTTTGAAAGGGCAGATAGGAGATTAGGTTTCTGACCTCGTGGTCTAAGTCACTGAAAACGGGCAAAAATATCAGACAGAACTTTGTAACTCTGAGGTAGCCAATATCACGCGGCGAGCCAGTTCAGCAGGCGCACGGCATCGCTCAGTTGTTTACAGTCATAACAAATATACGAAACCCCAGCAAATCCATCACAGCTATATAACACAACAGTAGTATATTGATTGGGTCATTTATTTCGTCTCAGTTTAGTGTTATTTTATACAAATATTTAATATGTTAAAAAGGAGAGGACTTGTAAAGGAAGTTTGTGCTGCTGAAAAACTAGACGACAAATCTGGCTGCGCACAAAGAAGATAACTATTAACTAGCTTCAGTACACTTTACATAGTAAAAGCTGGAATTTTACCATCGCTCAAAAAGTAGCACACACACAATCCACACATATCCAAAATAAGTTTTAAAAAAGAAAAAAGTTGGGCATTGGCTTAAGTGAACATCAATATCTAGCAAGTATGTGCTTGATACAAATATTTAATAACTTAAATCAACGTAGGCACAATGAAGAACTATATTATGACAAAGATCATATATTGCTATGCATAATTGATGATCACAAAACAGATTTGGCAGGTGAATAGATAAAAAAAGTCGTGACAAATCAATATGGTGTGCCTTGTATGATATAAGTGACCAAATATTGCGTAGTTCAAAGACAAATAAACAAACAGACAGACAAAGAAACAAACAGACAGACAAAGAAACAAACGAACAAACAAAGGGCACCCCGTTCGCTCAGTTGGTATAATGCTGAACTACAGAGCGAATGGTTCTGGTTCCAATCCTAGAAGTGGTGGCCTTGAACTCGGATCGTTTTGCTGAGTTTTCAAGGCTCTCAACCCCTTTGAACCACTCCTACCGGAGACGGTTGTTAAATTCAGACGTTCCACATTTTAAATAACATAATAGTGTTGATAGGGGCGTTTAACCCATATACTTATACTTTCTTCAAACAAACAAACAAACAAACAAACAAACAAACAAACAAACAAACAAACAAACAAACAAAGAAACAAACAGACAAACGAGCATAAAAAATAAGTGAGGTTAAGTGTGTGATGAAAACTCCATTGAGTCCTGTTGTTTCGTGTGATACCGTTTTAGTGCACATGCCAGAAAGAAGGAGGTAGGTAATATTCCAATAACTAGACACAAAACAGGCCTTCCGGCTTTCAGGAAGTGGGTTATTAGTTTGACGAACGGTTCAGAGATAATCTTAAACACAGACCAAAGCTTAGATGAGATGTATACTGAAAACATATTATGTAGTATACCTTGTCAGTATTGTGTTCATAGGCACAATATGAAAACTAAAAAGGTACAGTTCAAACCAGCACTAACTAGAATTTTTTTAAAAAGTGTGTAACAAAACGAATTTCTAATCTTCACGCCACAACAAAAATATAATATGTAAACCTGTAAAACGTAACGAATGCCTCATATACAGTCAAGTAAATCACTTATAGACCAATTTGTAAGCTGCTTCTTAGACAAAAGGCTCAGAGCACAGAGTTTTTAATTTTCTATTAAAAACCCCCACAAAACAAACAAACAAAAACACAACAAAAAACCATCTGTAAAACGAAAGAAAGCTTTCAGCTAAGAATTCTTCTACTGCAAAAAAAGGAGAGATATAAAGTCGAACATTTTTTTACAAAAATATACTAATCAGTTGCTTGTAGAATGATTAGGCAACTCGGTTAAATTGTTACAGCTAAAAAGCCTATAAATGAAATCAGCAGTTTATTTGTAAGAGATCGTTGGACGGAGCAGAATAGGACACCATTACGCATGGTGATAGTCAAAACAGCAGACAAAAACAAAAACAAACAATTAAAAAAGGGAGGAAGGAATGAAAGAAACAAGGAAGGGTGGAATGAAAGACAAAAGAACTTCTCGAGGTACATTTCGCTTCTAGCACGAATAGGTCTCATTTCAACTATCGATTTATATAGTGCTTCAGTCCTGTTTTCAAACAATAATAAAACAAAGCACGTACTCGAGGAAATGAGAAATGGTGAAGTTCCCCGTCTAACCAGACACAATTTCAGAGATTTCGATGATAAAACATGAGACCGCTCGCTGAGGCACCAAGCAGAAAATAAATATTTGATTCAGAACGAGACAAATAATCGGAGCCCAAGCGAACTCGAACTTCCAATTTGCGTATGCGGACGGAGTTCCTTTCTAACTGCTAGACCACAGCAACTTCCACATTCGTCTGGGATCGTGAAGGAAAACACATCGTGAGCAAAGAAGTCATCAGCGGTCTGCGCGTACAAATGAACGAATTGTTGAAATGAAAGAGAAGACAAACAAACCCGTACAAAATTCCATACTCAAATAAAAAAAACCCCACGCAAATAAGCAACAACAAAAAATATCGACACATCCGTAACAGTAAAAATAATAATTACAACTCAGAATTCAAATACGAAATACATCTTTCATTAGCTCTGCCCCCCAACCCCCTCCCCCCACAAAAACCCCAAGACAAAACAAAACAAAATCAAACTAACAAAAACCGCGCTGAGCGATGTGAACTTCTCGTGCCATCGAAATCCAAGTACGATCACCCTTTGGCTAAAGGACGATTGTAAAATAAAGTTACAATTTTATCTTATTTAACTGTAGTGTTTTAGAACAAACCTTTTGCACTGAAGAAATAATACGGTTGAAAATTGAAGCTTATAAATTTAAAAGAATCGAGAAAAAAACCCTAACCAAAAATAAACTTACACCCTACCAAAAAACAAACAAACCCCCAAATAAAAACAAAATCAGAGCCTCGAATCCACGACAGTAATGACTTTGCAAGACGGCTCCCCCTGCAATCCGCAGCAAAGTTCTTGCATGATCCCTCGCTAACTACGATCGACTAAATCTACACTTCTTCGCAGCGAGCAATGGCCCCTTGACCCAAGCGCCGTAATCGTTCTGCAAACAGAGACCGGTATCTCTCTGCCAGAGACGGCCCGACAGGGAAGCGCCCGAGAGCACACTCAAGTATGCTTACAGTGTCCGAGCAAAGAGTAATAAAGAACGCCAAAATAGCAATAACGCCTTCCAGTTTAAGAAAGCATGCAACGATATTGGAAAGAAAGGATCAACAGAGGATTGGAGATTCCAATAGTGTGTGCTATAGCCCAACCCCCCTCCTTTTTACCCCCCTCCTCCCGCTATGTAAATAGCACCCCCAAAAGACATCCCCCGAAAAAGAAAAAACAAACAAACAACCCCCCCCCACCCCAACAAAATACAACCCCAAAATAACCCACAGCAAACAACAAAACACAACCACTATAACATTTTCAACCTACACAATAACCAAAAAGAAAAACAAAATATTCCAAAATAAAAAAAGAGGAATATTGAAAAAAGATGCATTCAATATATATGTGTTATAACCACCTTCACCCACTTTACACCTTTCTAAAAACAAAAAATATACCCCCTTTTTCCATTTTACACCCTCTCATTAATAGGCAAATACACGCAAACTCCACCTTTCCCCCCTTTCCGATTACATATAATCATACAGGCACCTTCAGCCCCCCCCCCCGGACAAAAAGACAAAAAACAAATAAAAAATCAACAGCATCCATATAACTGAATAACTGATCTGAAACTTTAAAATAACCAAAGGCAAAGAGCTAAACAACAACAAAGTGTTTCTACTGCAATAATAAGATGAGTCTATCCACATGGCTACCCCCCCCAAAATTAATTAAAAGTAAGCAACAAATCTCCTAGTCCTCTAGCTAGCTTAAACAGACACTCATACATGCTTCGTGACATTATGCCAGTCGTGACTATCTACACATGCCTGCCGAATTAAAAAAAAAAAGCTTCAGCAAGAGGGCCTCACTACAGACAAGAACATAGTGATGGATTCCAAACAAAGGCATACTATACCGTGCTCCCCGACCTATTCACTAATTGAGGCAAAGAAAAAAAGGGTAAACCGTCAAAATAGAGAAAACCAAAAAGGGTCCACAACCGTTCTAAAAATGTAAGAACTATACCAGGGTGCGTTAAACTTACCAATATGTTTCTTTGATATTGCTCAAAGAATCACTAAATAGAAAATTTCGAGTGTGAATTCAAGAAAAAGACTTGAGTATGTCTGGCATCTATTACCATAGTGAAAAAAGTATCCTCAGGTCACATACTTAGTTGTTTATTTCATACGAGTACAGCCCCCCCCCCCCATACACACAGACGCAGAAACATAACACACACACAAAACACACACTTATGCACTCACACACGCAAGTATACACACACGCACACGCACACACACAAACACACACACACACACACACACACACACACACACACACATACACACACACACACACACAAAGTTCAGTTTCGTAAAATATCTATACGCCATAGTCTGGTAGGCAAAAATCAGAAAACAGATCGATGCTATTTTGATATGGCAATAATATCTCCAGTTCAAAATCATTTGCATAATTTCTATACATCACTGTTTATAGAAGAATCATAATAAAAATGATATTAACAAAATGATGATGATGATGATGATGATGATGGTGATGATATAGCAACAAAAGGAATCATAATAATAATAACGACTATGGTGGTGATGATGATGATGACGATGATGACTCCAATAAAAACATTGAGCCTTATCCTACTTTAATTATCAGTGACTAGATATCTCTTTTTCAACTCAAGGTTCTTCATTTTTGGGTGATAGGGGGGTATGAATAAGAAAGAAAAATAAAGATGAGGAAGACGATAATGGTGAAGATGATAACACGGATGAAGATGTTAACGATGAAGCAAGCGAGTCACACACTGCCTCTTAAATAACCTAACAGGGTTGATAGGGGTGTTAAACCTATACCATTTCACCATTTTTCAGTCAAACGTGCTCAAATGGCTTCCTGTCCGAGAAAATTTTAATTATTTATATACAAACGAGCACTTCGCATTTACCTTTTATTCCTATATTATAATGACAAAGACTAAGACATCCACTTGTCTAAGACAACCCTTTTTTTTCTTGGACAATTTTGGCAGAACTCATGTCGCCAGTCCCACTGCCAGAGAATATACATATATATATATATATATATATATATACATATATATATATGTGTATGTAGCCTATATATATTATATAAGTATCCCTGAGGACCAACAAGTGGTTTAAACCTCATTTGACTCTATGAGATGCCCATTTTGCAAGTTTGAAGACACGCTGTTTTGAGGGAATTTAAAACAAGAAACATATGTTATTCAAGCAGATTTTCCAAATCTGCTTGCTTTATTTTAAACTCATAAAGGCAGACAACGACATGCTTATTGTGGAATATTCAAATTTGTGTTTCTGATTTGTGCCCGCCGATTATAATTTTGTTGTTGTATTGTTGCCTTTGGTCCTCTGTTGATTGGAATATACATGTATGTCTGCTACATTCATAAAGAGTTAACCGCCAGAAAAAAACAACCCTACAATATCCCCCCTCCCCCGGCCCCCACCTTTACACACACATATACACACACACATTCCCAAACACAAACAGACACACACGCAGTATCGTTTCACACACACACATACATACACACACACACACAC